TGTTGTCGTCGTTGTTTACCAAAGATCATCTAACCCTCACCCTTTCGCTTTCTTCTTCTCCCAAACACACAGATCAGAATGAGCTCCGCCAGGCACACGAGCTGCTGGAGCAGTTTTCACAAACTAATCTGGTAAGTTTTGGTTGCTCTTTTTGTATCTTTAGTCTTCTAACACACGTTGCACTTGCTCCTGCCTGCTGCTCACAGCCTGAATACCTGAAGACGCTGTCTGATGTGCTCGCCAACCAGGAGCAGAATGGCTACGTCCGCATGGCAGCCGGCCTGCAGCTGAAGAACCAGCTTACCTCGAAGGATGACGCCGTCCGCGCTCGGCTGACGCAGCAGTGGCTGACGCTAAGTGAGGAGATTCGAAATGCTGTGAAGGTGAACACGCTGCGCAGTCTGGGCACGGAGACGGGGCGGCCCAGCGCCAGCTCGCAGTGCATCGCCTACATCGCCGCCATCGAGCTGCCGCACAACCTCTGGCCCTCGCTGATTCGCACGCTTACGGAGAATGCCACCCGGCGGGAGAACAACGAGCAGGTGAAGGTGGCCAACCTCGAGGCAATTGGCTACATCTGCCAGGAGGTCCATCCCGAGCTGCTCATCTCCGAGTCGAACCAGATCCTCACCGCCATCATCAACAACATGGGCAAGGACGAGCAGTCGACCAACGTCCGCCTGACGGCCACCAATGCGCTGCTGAACTCACTTGAGTTCACCAAGGCCAACTTTGACACCGAGCAGGAGCGGCACTTTATCATGCAGGTCGTCTGTGAGGCAACGCAGTGCTCGGACATTCGGGTAAGTGTGCTTGTCGGCTTTGCTTTGTGCTCGCCTTTTTGACACTTTGTTTACCTTCTCTCCACAGGTTCAAGTGGCCGCCCTTCAGTGCCTGGTGAAGATCATGTCCCTCTACTACGTCTACATGGAGCAGTACATGACGGTGGCCCTCTTCGCCATCACCCTCCAGGCAATCCGCAGCGACCAGCCGGAGATTGCCCTGCAGGGCATCGAGTTCTGGTCGAACGTCTGCGACGAGGAGATTGAGCTCGCCATCGAGGCCTCGGAGGCCGCCGAACAGGGCCGCCCGCCGTCGCGCACCTCGAAGTTCTACGCGAAGGGCGCCCTGCCCTACCTGGTGCCCCTGCTGCTGCAGACGCTGACGCACCAGGACGAGGACGCCGACGAGGACGAGTGGAACCCCTGCAAAGCCGCCTCGGTGTGCCTCATTCTGATGGCCACCTGCACGGAGGACGACATCATCGCCCACACCATGCCCTTCATCACCGAGAACATCAGCAAGGAGGACTGGCACCTGCGCGAGGCCGCCATGATGTCCTTCGGCTCCATCCTCGAGGGCCCCTCCACGGCGGTGCTGGTCCCGATCGTCCAGCAGGCGCTGCCCACCGTCATCAGCCTGATGCGCGACCAGTCGGTGGTGGTGCGGGACACCACCACCTGGGTACTGAGCAAGATCTGCGAGCAGGTGAGCGAGGTGGTGCTCAAGCCCGAGGTGCTCAAACCGGTGCTGGACGTGCTCATTGAGGCGCTCAAGTCGGAGCCGCGCGTAGCGGTGAACGCCTGCTGGGCGCTCAACTCGCTCTCCGAGGCGGCGAACGACGTCGCCTGCAACTTCGAGGGCATCATCGAGAACCCGAAGACGAACCTCCTCTCGGAGTACTTTGAGGTGATCGTCACCCATCTCATCGCCTGCACCGACCGCCCCGACTCGGTGATGAACAACCTCCGGTCGAGTGCCTACGAGGCGCTGATGGAGATGATCAAGAACAGCCCCCAGGACAACTACCCCATCGTCCGGCAGACGACGATGATCATCCTCGAGCGACTGAATCGGCTGCTCTCGGAGAACCACGCCGGCGACCAGAACATCATGGACCTGCAGTCGCTACTGTGCAGCGCCCTGCAGTCGGTGCTGCGCAAGATGACGCCGGAGGACGCGCCCAAGATCTCCGACGCCATCATGACCGCCACCCTGCAGATGCTCGACTTTAGCTGTAAGTGGGAGTTTTGTTGTTCTGTTGCTAACAAAACGTTGCTAATTTTTTTTATTTTTCTTTTTTTTCACCAGCAAAAGCGGGCAACATCAACGAAGACGCCCTGCTGGTGGCCGGCACGCTGTCGGAGATTCTCACCAAGGGTTTCATCGCCTACTACCCCTCTTTTCAGCAGTACCTGCTGCTGGGCCTGAAGAGCTACCAGAATGCGCAGCTCTGCTCGGTGGCCATCGGCGTCGTCGCCGACCTCTGCCACGCCATGGGCGCCGACATGACGCCCTACAGCGGCGAGCTGATGGCCACGCTCATGGAGGTGCTCTCCAGCACCGTCGTCCAGCGCAAGATCAAGACCGAGGTGCTGAGCGTCTTCGGCGACATTGCCCTCGCCATTGGGACGGCCTTCAGCGCCTACCTGGAGACGGTGCTGCAGACGCTGCTGCAGGCGACCAACATCAGCTACAACCGCGCCAACTACGAGCTGGTGGAGTACGTCAATGAGCTGTGGGAGAGCACGCTGCACGCCTACACCGGCATCGTCCAGGCGCTCAAGGGCGACGGCGAGCCGTTCAACCAGGAGGTGATGCGCCTCCAGCCGCACATCGTCTACATGAACCAGTTTCTGCTGAAGGTGGCGGAGCAGTACGTCGACCTCCCGGACGCCATCATCGCCTCCGCCGCCGGCCTCATCGGCGACCTGCTCACCGTCTTCGGCGCGACGATGCTGCCGCTGGTGGAGCAGGCCGCCGTCCAGTCGATGTTCGTCCGCGGCAAGAAGAGCAAATCGAGCAAGACGCGCACCATGTCGCTGTGGGTGCTGCGGGAGATCAAGAAGTTCAAGGTGGCCATGGGCCAGCTGCCTGCCGGTGCGGGTGGTGGAGCCGCCCCCACGCAACAACAACAACAGCAACCGATTTTTATTCCCAACCAAGTACTTCAGCAGCAGCAGCAGTAGCAACAACGGCGGAGTTCCTCTCTCTCTCTCTTTCTCTCTTCCTACCTTCCTGAACACACACACACCTACCTGTAGTCAATCTCAGTCAGTCACGCAACGACACACCTTCACACCACACCGTCAACCGACGCACCAGAATCTGCTTCTCAGCTCCCTCTCACCTCCCTCTCCTCCGATTCTCGTTCTCTCCGATGAATTGGATCTTTCACTCTCTCTCCATGAGAGCCGTGTGCGCACTTTTCGGCTTTTACCACACACACACATTCTTTACTTTCCTCNACCGACGCACCAGAATCTGCTTCTCAGCTCCCTCTCACCTCCCACTCCTCCTCTGATTCTCGTTCTCTCCGATGAATTGGATCTTTCACTCTCTCTCAATGAGAGAGCCGTGTGCGCACTTTTCGGCTTTTACCACACACACACATTCTTTACTTTCCTCCTTCTTCTATCATCTATCTTCTATCCTATCCTATCCTATCCTATCCTATCTTCCTTTCTCTTCTCTGTTTTTCTTCTTCTTGTTACACCGCCGAGACACCAAAAGTGAGTGTGAGAGTGTTGCGCGCGCGCACCCTCCACCGGGATTATCTCTATCCCGACTTCTTCTTCTTCTTCTTTCTATTTCTCTTTTCTCTCTTCTCTCTTTCACCCCCGGTCCCCCATCTCTCTCTTGTGATACACCACCTCAACCTATACACCAACTCATCACCTTATCTTCTTCTTCTTCAACTTCACACAACACAAACACTGACTGTTTGCGAATGGGAAGAACTTTTTCTTTCTCTCACCAGGCTGCCTCTGCTCTACCCTCCTCTTGACCTGGTGGTGGTCCTCCCCTCCCTCGCTTCAGTCGACAACTCAATCCATCGCATACCATCCTCCCCACCCACCCCCTCCTGCCTCTATCCATTTCCTCTACTTTTCCCCTCTTTCCTTTCCTTTCCTTTCCTTTGCGCGCAACAACTGTGTGATTGTGATTCACCCCCCTTATTACCTCCTCTTTATATTTATTACCACCACTTCTACTTTTGTTGTTTGGCGAAGGCTGGGCGCCACCTCTCTCTCTCTCTCCCTCCCTCTCTGACTGCTCTCTGACCCTGCTCTCTGGGCCCGCCCGCAACAAACACACCCATCTGGGAAGCACACCCTCACCTCTTGCACACCTCTCTCTTTTCTGAGCAAGGGCAGGGGCCCAGAATCGTAGTGTGCAGTGTTTGTGTGTGTCGTTTGCTGTGGGTGTAAGACAGTCTCCCTCTCTCAATGGCAAATTCTTTCTCTTTTACAACGCAAACAACACGGACACCACCACCACCACCCCGCGGAACCAGTGCACAATGAATTCGACGCAGTAGTGACACTACCAACGCCAACCCTGAAACAACATACGAACACACCACCACCACCACCCATCACACCACCTCAACAACTTCATCATCATCATCATCATCCTCTTTCTTCTCATTTGCCAATGACGCCCTTTTAGCCAACGCCAACGAGCGAGAGTCCTGACGGACGACTCGCAACCGCCTCGGTGACACCTTTTCCCCTCTCTCTCGCCGAACTGGTTGTGGTCCGTCTTGCTCTTCCTCCTCCTTTTCTCTTTTTCACTCTGTAGACCTTTATTAACAGGTAGAGGTCCGGTGCGACTAACTACTAAACCAGTGGCGCTGTACTCTCTTTTTGAAGATTTGTTGTTGTTGTTATGCATGATGATACTGTCGCCGCTGGTTTAGTCCCTGCCGCCGCTCTACTGTTAACTGAAGCTATCAAATTAACAAATTGCTCTAATTTATATCAATCTATTTCTATCCTCCCTCCTTTCTTTCTCCCTAACTCTCCGCCATGACGTTGTAGTGGGCGGCGTTTCGCAGCCAGCCCAAGGTGAGCGCCACCACCTGGGCGTCCTCGGCGACGGT